GTCGCCATATTTATTACAACGTTTGGGCCTTTCAGTATCTGTCTATATTTCTCAGATGAGGTATTATGTACACTATTTACATTATTCGGACTATTGTCCTCATCTTTGTCGCTATATTTATTACAACGTTTCAGCCTTTCAGTATCTGTCTTTATTTCTGAGATGAGGTATTATGTACACTATTTACATTATTCGGACTATTGTCCTCATCTCTGTCGCCATATTTATTACAACGTTTGGGCCTTTCAGTATCTGTCTATATTTCTCAGATGAGGTATTATGTACACTATTTACATTATTCGGACTATTGTCCTCATCTCTGTCGCCATATTTATTACAACGTTTGGGCCTTTCAGTATCTGTCTATATTTCTCAGATGAGGTATTATGTACACTATTTACATTATTCGGACTATTGTCCTCATCTTTGTTGCCATATTTATTACAACGTTTCGGCCTTTCAGTATCTGTCTATATTTCTGATATTAGGTATTATGTACACTATTTACATTATTCGGACTATTGTCCTCATCTCTGTCGCCATATTTATTACAACGTTTGGGCCTTTCAGTATCTGTCTATATTTCTCAGATGAGGTATTATGTACACTATTTTACATTATTCGGACTATTGTCCTCATCTCTGTCGCCATATTTATTACAACGTTTGGGCCTTTCAGTATCTGTCTATATTTCTCAGATGAGGTATTATGTACACTATTTACATTATTCGGACTATTGTCCTCATCTTTTGTTGCCATATTTATTACAACGTTTCGGCCTTTCAGTATCTGTCTATATTTCTGATATGAGGTATTATGTACACTATTTACATTATTCGGACTATTGTCCTCATCTCTGTCGCCATATTTATTACAACGTTTGGGCCTTTCAGTATCTGTCTATATTTCTCAGATGAGGTATTATGTACACTATTTACATTATTCGGACTATTGTCCTCATCTTTGTCGCTATATTTATTACAACGTTTCAGCCTTTCAGTATCTGTCTTTATTTCTGAGATGAGGTATTATGTGCACTATTTACATTATTCGGACTATTGTCCTCATCTCTGTCGCCATATTTATTACAACGTTTGGGCCTTTCAGTATCTGTCTATATTTCTCAGATGAGGTATTATGTACACTATTTACATTATTCGGACTATTGTCCTCATCTTTGTCGCCATATTTATTACAACGTTTCAGCCTTTCAGTATCTGTCTTTATTTCTGAGATGAGGTATTATGTACACTATTTACATTATTCGGACTATTGTCCTCATCTCTGTCGCTATATTTATTACAACGTTTCAGCCTTTCAGTATCTGTCTTTATTTCTGAGATGAGGTATTATGTACATTATTTACATTATTCGGACTATTGTCCTCATCTCTGTCGCCATATTTATTACAACGTTTGGGCCTTTCAGTATCTGTCTATATTTCTCAGATGAGGTATTATGTACACTATTTACATTATTCGGACTATTGTCCTCATCTTTGTCGCTATATTTATTACAACGTTTCAGCCTTTCAGTATCTGTCTTTATTTCTGAGATGAGGTATTATGTACACTATTTACATTATTCGGACTATTGTCCTCATCTTTTTGCCATATTTATTACAACGTTTGGGCCTTTCAGTATCTGTCTATATTTCTGATATGAGGTATTATGAACACTATTTACATTATTCGGACTATTGTCCTCATCTCTGTCGCCATATTTATTACAACGTTTCAGCCTTTCAGTATCTGTCTTTATTTCTGAGATGAGGTATTATGTACATTATTTACATTATTCGGACTATTGTTTTTATCTTTGTCGCCATATCTATTACAAGGTTTCGGCCTTTCAGTCTCTGTCTATATTCTGAGATGAGGTATTATATACATTATTTACATTATTCGTACTATTGTTCTCATCTTTGTCGCCATATTTATTACAAAGTTTTCGGCCTTTTAGTATCTGTCTATATTTCTGAGATGAGGTATTATGTACATTATTTACATTATTCGGACTATTGTCCTCATCTTTGTCGCCATATTTATGACAACGTTTCAGCCTTTCAGTATCTGTCTATATTTCTGAGATGAGGTATTATGTACACTATTTACATTATTCGGACTATTGTCCTCATCTTTGTCGCCATATTTATGACAACGTTTCAGCCTTTCAGTATCTGTCTATATATCTGAGCTGAGGTATTATTTACATTATTTACATTATTCGGACTATTGTTCTCATCTTTGTCGCCATATTTATTACAAAGTTTTCGGCCTTTTAGTATTTGTCTATATTTCTGAGATGAGGTATTATGTACATTATTTACATTATTCGGACTATTGTTCTCATCTTTGTCGCCATATTTATTACAAAGTTTTCGGCTGTTGTACGCTCCTTTCTTCTTCGGGTGGTTGGAATGTCGAACTGAACACTTTATTTCGCTCACTGGGGTAGACTGTTCTAGTTCCACGTGCCATGTCTAATGGATGTCAGTTATCGGGTCTACCGCGCTATCTAACACTATAGCGTATCTAGGAGATTGTTCTCTCGTAAAAATGCAACTGCTGTTTCCTCGGTCAAGATGGCACGTCTATAAAAATCTTTCAACAACATTTTTTATCTGAAAGAAGTCATGTTAACAGTTTCACACCTAGGAGGATTCTGATTTTTGGAGATTCATTTCCTTCCTTTTATATGGACAGGACACACGACAGGTGAAGTGAGGCGATGGTAGTATTCATCGTGATAGACCGCAGGTGGACAGCGAGCTGAGGTCACGGTATAATTCACAGCGCGGCAGACCGCATTCTATAGTAGTCAATGAGGTAGAATTCTTACTATAGTGGCACCGAGATGTTCAACAAAAGGATATTGAGAATACAATGGAAGGAGAATATATATATATATATGTGTATGTGTGTGTGTGTGTGTGTGTGTGTGTGTGTGTCCGCCCACATACAAGTGTGTTTCGCTGTATCACAGCTCATCAGTGTGACTCGACATCCGATTGCTTCAAGCCGAAATTTGGCATATCTGCTGTGCGCCGAAAACTTAGGGGTATAATCCGGGATTATACCCCTAAGCTATCTGCGCACAGCAGAGAAAGGGAAAACTTTAATGTATTATATACGTGATGTATACAAACGCTAGTAGTCAAGAGCGCTCAATACATAACTGAAGAACGATGTATTGTTTTTTTCAATTAACCTTTTCTAAAGTGCTCAATCGACGTAAATATTCATCCACATACAAGCCTGTTTTCGCTGTAACAACAATATATATATATATATATATATATATATATATATATATATATATATATATATATATAAGAGTCAGTTCTCTACTATAGTCCTATATAGTTTCGTCATATATATATATATATATATATATATATAATTCTAACCCACAGAAGAGTGGCGCGTTGCGCTTTCTCAGGCTAACGTTTTTCATTGGATATTGCTGTCACGTCTGGTCTGGTACTTCTGCTATGTATTTAGAGATCCTTGATAAAATACAAAGAATCTGCAATGTTATATTTCGGCTTCAATCATTTCCCCATAATGTAGCTTTCCTGTGTCCTTTCTATAAATATATTAGTTCACTGTGTCGTGCAAGATAATTTTTCTCGCTTTGTTCGATCTAGCAGATTTATAAATCTACCATTTTCCACGCATTGAATAAATCTACCATTATCCACGCATTGAATAAATCTATCATTATCCACGCATTGAATAAATCTATCATTATCCACGCATTGAATAAATCTACCATTATACACACATTGAATAAATCTACCATTATCCACGCATTGAATAAATCTACCATTATCCACACATTGAATAAATCTATCATTATCCACGCATTGAATAAATCTACCATTATCCACGCATTGAATAAATCTACCATTATCCACGCATTGAATAAATCTATCATTATCCACGCATTGAATAAATCTACCATTATCCACGCATTGAATAAATTAACCATTATCCACGCATTGAATAAATCTACCATTATCCACGCATTGAATAAATCTACCATTATCCACGCATTGAATAATCCTGACATATTTGATTTGGTGCTTCTACTCTGTATTTCGAAATTTTGGATAAAATTCAAAGAATCTACAAAGTTATCGGTCCTAAACTCGCTCCTCTCAGATTTAGTCATTTACCCACTGTCGTAACCTAGCTTCCCTGTGCCCTAGATAATAAATAAATGGTAATTGTTCTGATCATCTTTCCTCTTTGATCAATACACATTAGGGTTAGATTTTTTTAAATTGTTGTTTTCCCCTTCTCCCACAGACAAAAAATTGTACATATGGGAACGAGTTGGAACTTTATAGAGACTTGATGTATTATGGTGAATGTAGTAAGAATGATAAGAATGGGTTGTTTTTTGGTGTAAGGAATATTGTGGTATGTTTAGTCAGCAATTGTAGCTAGCTAGATTTAATTCAAAGACAAAAAAAAGACCGACCTTCCTCATTCCTTTTTTTGGCTCTGTGCCACATCTTTGTAACTTTGCAAAATAAATATTGTTACCCTCTTTGATTCAAATTGTGCATATGGAGACTAGTTAGGATTTTATCGAGATACTGTGGTATTATGGTGATTGTTGTAAGTATAATGAGTAGGAATATGATGTTTTGGTGAAAGATTATTGCAATTTGTCTGAGGTAGTGATTGCAGCTAACTGTATATTACAAAAATAAATACTGCTTTCCTCTTCGGTACCTCAACTTTGCGAATTTAAGAGGATTACTAGATTGGCAGTTAGGTCTCATCTAGATTTAACCGTAAGTTCTATGCTAATATTTACTTCTCTCGAACTTCTCGCTTGTGGAACTTTAAATGCAGTGCCACTTGGTTTCTTTTTGCGACCTGTTCTTTTATTGTCCTTTTCTCCCTAATGACGTTTGCTTCAACTCTCGGTAATCTCTTGCGCCTTTTTGTTTCATATTTTGGCTTTAATTTCTGCTCGATTTTCAGGTACATTTCTTTATCCACTAATGAGAAAACCAACTTCCGCGCCCGGGAACTGAAATCGGTCCAAGTTGACGCCACTGGCTATTTTCTGAAACTTAACCTGCACAAGAACTATATCAACAAACACAACCTTTACAATCAGGTAAGGAATTTTCACCCTTTCATTGATCAGATATTTTGTCACAACTTTAGCTTACTGAACAACAGGACGTCGTATTAAACAAGGTTATTGTTGTGGAGTGATTTCGCAGTGGAGGCTTGTATTTATACTAAGTCAGTCCTAAAATAGGTTCGATGTACAAAACGTTAGGAACTTGATATAATAGGTATTACGCAGAGTAATCTAGTTGTGGTCGCTGATACTTTAGTATTCGACTAACTGTCGTCTGACATCGACTGACTGACTCACTGACCGACTTCTACGTTACTCTTACTACTCCTACTTATTATAGGTGGGAGAGTCTATTAACTATAGAATAGGTGTGTTCCACAATAACAGTTATAGAACCACGTCATATTTTATTAGGCAAGCCAATACTTTTCACCATCAAATTCGTTTTAACCAATTGATGTAGTCAATACTTTAACGATATGTCTATGCTAAATGTTTCTACAGGACATAAATTGGGGGATCGATTTTCTATCGTCATTAAGTAATAAACTAATCCCCCTAGAATTATTAAACTGACAGATTTTATTATGCAAGTCAATGTTTTCAAATTGGTGTTAACTAATTGATGTCGACAAAACTTTCAGGATATATTTACATTACATCTTAATATAAATTTCTACTGGACATAAAGTGGGGGGTCGATTTTCTATCGTCATTAAGTAATAAACTGATCCCCCTAGAATTACTACACTGACAGATTTTATTATGCAAGTCAATGTTTTCAAATTGGTATTAATCAATTGATGTCAGCAAAATTTTCAGGATATATTTATATTAAATCTTAATATAAATTTCTGCTGAACATAAAGTGGGGGATCGGTTTCATATTGTTATTAAGTAATAAATTGATCATGCTAGAAATACTACACTGTCAGATATGATTATGTAAGTCAATGTTTTCACAATAAAAATGATATTAACCGAGTTATGTCAGCAAAGTTGTCGCATATATTTACATATAAATTTTTATCGGACATAAAGTGGGGGATCAGTTTTGTTATTGAGTAATAAACTGATCTATTCTAGAACTACTGCAGTGAGGCAAGCCAACTTTTTTATAATAAAATTGGTAATCAACTGATGTCGGCAAAACTTCCAGGATATGTTTACGTTAAATGTTTACGTTAAATGTTTCTACTGGACATAAAGTGGGGTGTCTGTTTTCTGTTGTCATTAAGTACTAAACCGATCCCCCTAGAATTACTAGACTGCCAAATTATATCATGCAAGTTAATGTTTTCAGATTAGTATTAACCAATTGATGTAAGCGAAACTTTTAGGATATATGTACCTCACATAATAATGAGTTTTTGCTGGACATAAAGTAGGGGATCTGTTTTCTATAGTTATCTACCCCCCCACACACACACACACACGAGGGTTACATGTGACACAAGGTCGGGTTTAACATGGGATTTCCGAGCCCGTAGGCTCGGCCAAAAATATTCCCTCTTTGAACCCGCATAAACGGGTTCAAGGGCAGTCAACCACCCCGAACGAGACTCTGCCCTTCGGCGGAGCCTCGTCCGGGTTCCTCTCCGCCCGAAGGCAGAGAGTTAAGCTGTTAGCCAAGTTATAGTTATTAAGTAATAACATGATCCCTAAAATTATTACACAAAGTTGGATTTTTATGCAAATTAATGTTTTCACAATCAAATTGGTAACTAACTTACTGGTATTGGTTAAATTTTATGGGTAGATTTTAAATTTTAACGGTAGATTTATATTTATACAGGTTGCGTTAATAAAACGTCACTGGCTATTTGGTGTGGCGTTATTGAAGCGAAACAGGTGGTAATTGCGTCTTCATGGGCCAAGTGGTCGTTAAAACCTTCACTTTCCGACTATGAAATCCTGGTTCGAATCTTATCATTGGAGATCTGTCGATGGGTGGCGATCCCACTTAGGCAAGTGTCTGTAAACCATACTAAAGTTTGTCCCAACCCTTGCGAGAATGAAACCGTGCGTTGATGGCTGTGCTAGCACGAAGTTCCAAGTCATCGTGACCGAGGGTTTCGGCGTATTATCTTTGTTCAAACTATTGGCATTGCCAAATAATGCACTCTCTCCCAGAAACTGCAACTAAGGTTCGATCAGCATAGCTGGAGTATAAACCACTTGTGGGTGTTGAACAAGCACAAATGTGTCTGAGGAAGCATTTCCAATAGGCACTGACAACCCCGCCACCCCTCGTAGCAGACAGGCAAATTTAAAAACGAGCGGCCATCCATTATGTAGTTAATGTTTCGCTATTATTTTTGTATCCCTAATGTAGGCATGACACCGAAATTTGTTTTGGCTAAACTCTCATTCTTAGGGAAATTTGAGGAAAAACTAAGTATAGAAATTTGGCAAAAGCCACATTTTTACAGATTTGGGGTCAAACAAATTCATCGAATTATTTTGCTCAAACACAAATTCTTAGAGAAATTTAGGTAACGAATACTTATAGAAATTTAGTGGGAGACGAATTCATTAGAAATTTTTAGTCAAACGAAAGTTCTTTGGAAAATTTTGGTCAAACACAAATTTTTAGGTAAATTTCGAAAAGACTAATTATAGAATTTTGATGAATGACAAATTCTTAGAAATTTTTGGTCAAACAAAAATTCTTGTATAAATTAGGGGAATACAGATTCATTGGAGAATTTTGTTGCAACATATATTCTTTGCGAATTTTGATGAAAGATAAGTTTGTCGAGAAATTTAGTCAATTTTCTAGTATTTTGGTGCAACCCAAGTTCTTATAAAATTCATTTTAGTAATTTTCTCCCAATACAAGGCCCAAGAGCCACTCAAAGTAGAGGGTTACTGTATGATGTTGTATGAACATAAGAGACGATGGTAGATAACAGCTAACCATATGTTTGAACAGTTTAAGATCGCTGTGATCGGGAAAGCATTCTACTGTGAGTGTTCTACAAAGCAGCAATTCTTAGGGAGTTGTCTGGGTGGAACTTTCTTCTTGTCAATGGAATACAAAGGAAATGTGGATGATTTCTCCTATGTACGTGGCATCGCCTGTCCCAACTTCAAAGGTCGGTGGAACCAAGGAGTGCAGCTGCATATCAGAACACTTGTCACTGAGAGTAATTTTAGTAAAACAAATTATCAGAGAATTTGGGGGAAACTCAGATTATTCGGAGAATTTTAATGAGACACAAAATCTTACGGAATTTTCAAATGCATAGTCGTCTTCTAAATTAATTTAACTTCACCCTTTTTTATCTACATGTCTCTTTTATTTCTTAAAGGTTGGCATTGTTGCCATAAATATTATTGGAGATGAAGTCCTGGATGATGCAAAACATGTGAGTATATTATGGAATGGACAAAATCCAACAATTAATTTAAGACATTTTTTATGTTTATACATTCTTTTTTATAGATACAAATATTTAAGTAAATGCTCTGTTTATAATAAACAATATTAACAACATTTATTGGACTGAATGTCCGAGAAATTGTCAGGACAGGAATCGAACCTGTATCCTATACGGAACCGTCATATAGCCTAACGTGCTTTTACCGATTTGGCCACAGAGGAGCGTTCGGTTAGTAAGGTCGATTTTACTGTTTTAAAACTACAATTTTCCATGATTTCCTCACGTACATTCATATCTTCTCGATGCGTATCAAATGTAAACAAATGACGTAACACATTATGAAATAGACAAAGTCCGACAATTATTTTAGGACATTTTTTATGTTTATACATTATTTTATTTATAGATACAAATATTTAAGTAAATGCCCTGTTTATAATAAACAGTATTAACAACATTTACCGGCCTGAATGTCCGAGAAATTTTCATAGAAAATATGCGTCCACCGACAGGAGTCCTCTGTGGCGAAATCGGTAAAAGCACGTCAGGCTATATGACGGTTCCGTATAGGATACAGGTTCGATTCCTGTCGGAGAACGCATATTCTCTCTGAAATTTTCTCGGACATTCAGGCCGGTAAATGTTGTTTAATACTGTTTATTATAAACAGAGCATTTACTTAAATATTTGTATCTATAAAAAGAATGTATAGCATAAAAGTGTCTTAATATATATGTGTGTGTGTGTGTGTGTGTGTGTGTGTGTGAATATTTCTGTATACTATTTACATTGTTCGGACTATTTTCCTCATCTTTGTTGCCGTATTTATCACAATGTTGTCGGACTTTGTCCATTTCATAATGTGTGACATCATTTGTTTACATTTGATACGCCATGAGCAGATATGAATGTACGTGAGAGATTCGTGGAAGATTGAAGTTTAAATACAGTAAAATTCGACCTTGCTAACCGAACGCTCCTCTGTGGCCAAATCGGTAAAAGCACGTTAGGCTATATGACGGTTCCGTAGAGGATACAGATTCGAATCCTGTTGGAGGATGAATATATTCTCTGAAAAATTTCTCGGGCATTCAGGCCGGTAAATGTTGTTAATACTGTTTCTTATAAAACAGAGCATTTACTTAAATATTTGTATCTATAAAAAGAATGTATAAACGTAAAAAAATGTCTTAAAATATAAGTATATGTTAATGATTTTTTTTTTTTTTTTTGAGAATTGCTCGACGTCAAACATTTTAGCTACAAACCAAAAAAGGTCCTTGAAAGTGAATGGCATGAATATTTCGAAAAATGCGGTTGCTCAAATGGTTAACATTGCGAAAGGTAAAATCGACAAGTGGATTTCGCCGGCTGAAACAGTTTGTATTCCCTTTGCACTAATAGCTTCGGGGAAAGGCAAAAGTACTAACTGTTATTGCGGGCATGTAAGTCCATATTTATCAAATACCCCAACAACAATTGAAATGTCGCTAAACCGACTGACC